ACACATCCGCACACACATCTCCCGCACACACCCACACGCACACGCACCCACACATCCACAGACACATTTCCCATCCCCCTGAGAGGCGTCACAGGCTCTACAGGACCCCCATGTAGAATGGGAGAAGGGACAGATACCAGGCACAGGGTGACCAGAAGCTGTGCCACAGGCAGGGGGAGGTGCCCCACACCCTCGGCCTGACCCCTGCCCACTTTCCATGCCCAGCCTTGGTTTTCCCAAGCCTCTTTCTGGTGCATGGGTACATGTTGGGAGGTGGGCGGGGGTGGGGGTGGGGCAACTTGAACAAACCTCAGGAGCTTCCCCCCCATGTCAGTTCACCATCCAAACCCTCTCTTCTGCCCCTTCCTGTTTCTCTGCCTCTTGTAGTTTTTCTGTCTCCGCCTCTCTCCTCCTCTGTCTCTCTCTCTCTCTCTCTCTGTCCTTTTCTCCTTCTCTCTCTTAAAAACACACATCTGTGTAAGTAAATTTAAAAAACACACACCTGTGTAGATGCAATGGCCTCTGCCCCATACTCACACACTAGTGCGTGCCCCCAACCCTGTCACCACCCCTGCCCCCAGCCCCAGTGGCACACACTCCTGCACAGAGCCCCCAGCCCTCCCTGCAGAGGCCTGAGTAACAGAGCCGGCCAACACCCTGCCCTGGGAGTACCCCCGCACAGCCCTGGCTTCCCCCTTCACAGGAAGAGGTATGAGCCTCCCATGGGAGCGCTGGCAACAGGCATGGGGGGGGTGTAACGGGACGTGTTACCTTCTCTTTGCAGGGAAGCAGGATGGATGAACAACGATGCTCCTTCCCACCACCCCTCAAAGTAGGTTGGAACCGCGGCCCCACCCTACCCTTCTGTGGCCGTCTGCCTGTGCTGTTTCCCGAACAGTCTCTCCAAAGGCCTTGGGACCTGGAGGGGTTGGGGAGACTCTCTCGCCAATCGTGATCAGCAGTTACAGGAAGACTCAAACCCAGGACCCAGGAGGCTTCTGCCTGGGAAGGCAGATGGGGAGGGGAGGAGAGGAGGAGATGGGAGGAGTGGCCTGGTTGCCCCCCAGCCTGCTGCGAGGAGACTGAGAGGAGGCGGGGGATGGAAGGAGATGCAGGGAGGCTCTTGTTTAGACTCAGAATTTTCTTGGGGTGGGAGTTGCACATCCCCTCCAGATAGGCGTGTGGTTCTATGCTGGATTTGGGACCTCAGCAATCCAAGAAGACTGGTGGCTGGCCTGGGAGGGAACAGGGGGACGCCCAGGGCTTCAAGGTGAGGGTTGAGGAGGGGGCTTGTGAGCATATGCCTGATTCGTTGTTCAGAGCAGGGTTCTCAAAGTGTGGTCCTTGAACCAGCAGCAACAGCATTACCTGGAAGCTTATTACAATGTAAATTCTTGGGCCCCACCTAGACCCTGGGAAACGGGATGGGGCACAGCAGTGCGTGTTTAAGGAGCCCTCAAGGGCCATTCTGATGCACTGAGAATCACTGGTCCCTGGGTTTCTTCTGGGGAGGCGGTGAGCCTCCTTTTCCCCAGGCAGAGAGACACCCAGGGGAGACTGCCAGCACTCACTGAGCTAAGCTTGCTCAGCCCCGGCCTCATGGGGTCACCCCTGGGAAGCCCTGGGGAGATGACACAGCCCCATCCACACTCCCAGCCCAGGTGGCTGGCTGAGCAATGGAGCATTCTGGGGAGACTGGAAGTAAGTAAAGGGTGAGGGTCCCACCCCAGCTGGGTCTCTGGCCTGCTTGTGTTTTGTAGACAGAGGAGGACTACATTCCCTATCCGAGCGTCCATGAGGTAACTGGCTGGACCCCCTGAGCCCATCCTCACCCCGAGTCTGGACTCTCAGGTCCTCCTCCCTGCCAGGAGCCTGACCATAGACCTTGCCATGGGCTCTGGGGCCTCAGTTTACTGGCCCAAGTCTTTATAGAGTCCATGTGAACCCTTAGGCCTTTAATCCCGACGTTTCAGCCTCTTGGCCAAGGTCATTCTCCCAGCTCTACCTTCCCGAACCAAGTCCCCATTCTTGGAGACTGGAACAGGGGGTTCCATGTGGCCTGGGTCTGTGCCTGCAGTAGGACGGAAAGGGCTGGAGCAAGTACGCTGGGGGGGTGGATGCAAGCCCTGGGGTCCACGTGGGCTCTGGGTTGTTCCCTAGCTCTCCTAAGCCGTGGCAGAAGTGACCCTGGGTCTGAGTTGGAGGGTGTCCTGGGGCCCTGGTAGGGTGCAGTGTGGGTGGCTCTCAGCTGAGTCCTCCGTCAGGTCCTGGGGCGAGAAGGACCTTTCCCCCTCATCCTGCTGCCCCAGTTCGGGGGCTACTGGATTGAAGGCACCAACCACGAAATCACCAGCATCCCAGAGACAGAGCCGCTGCAGTCACCCACGACCAAGGTGAAGCTCGAGTGCAACCCCACAGCCCGCATCTACCGGAAGCACTTTCTTGGCAAGGTGGGTGGCCCGCTGGTGTTGGGGGCTGGGCCCGGGAGGGAGCCAAACCCAAGGGCTGGGGCTGGGTGGTAGTCCTGAGTCCCACGTCCCGGAACATTTGTGGTGGATTCACGCTTTCATTCAACAAACATTATGGCATAGTGGTTAACATCAGAGACTACCGCGGCACGATCCTGGCTCTGTCACTTGCTACGTGGGACAATGGGCAAGTCACTTACCCTCCCCGTGCCTCTGTTTCCTCATCCATAAACACAGAGAGGGTGATGACACCCACCTCAGGGGGATGCTGCACAGCTTTAATGAGAACGATGCTTGTAAGGTATTTAGAATGGGGTCCAACATAGAGTGAGTGCTCAGTCAAGGTTAGAAAATAATGAGCACCAGCTGTGTGCCAGCCGTGTTCTAGGCACCAGGAGTGCAGCAGCAAACCAAACAGACCCGGGCCCTGCCCTCAGGTAGCGTGAGGTCAGGGCTGGGAGACTAGTGTAGTGTCATGGCCTGACCTGGCTTGGCACAAACCCCTGCCCCGTCTCCAGCCCCAGAGCAGGGATCCTGCCCAGTAACAACTGGTCAGAGTGTCACCCAGCAGTGCTCCAGGCAGAAGTTACCGGGTGAGATTGTGGTAGCTGGAGGGGAGGTCCCATGCTGGGATCTAGTGCGTGCCAGGCCCCACGCCAGCTGCTGTACCTCTGTCCATCTCCAGCCCAGCTGGTGGAGTGGGGTGTGGGTTCTGGAGTCTCATGGCCTGCGTGTGTATCTTGGCTCTTCCATTTATTGATGGTGTGACCTTGGGCAAGTCGTTTGACCTTCCTGAGCCCGTTTCCTCATCTGTAAAAATGAGGATAACAAAAGTACATGTGAAGTATAGAGAACCATGCCGGGCACATAGTAAGTACTTAACATTAGCTATTACTACATTTTCATAGTTACTCTGTGAGATCAGGATTGCTCTCGTTTTTACAGAAGAGGAAACTGAGGCTCATAGAGGTGAAGTTCTTGGCCAAGGTCACACAATTACTGAGCCAGGAATTGGACCTACCTCCAGCTGACCTTCCCTTAAGACGTGCCGGGAGGGTTTATGCTCTTGGCTCAGAGGACTCGAGGACTTCAGCGCAGCCCTCTTTGCCAAGGACCTGCCACTCCCTCTCTGCAGATGGTGCCAAGCATTTGGGGGTTTCCGCCACTCTGTCCCCAGGCAGGGCTGAGGGGGACTCTTGGCTCCAGGCCCACTCAGACTGTCCCCGAGCTGCGGATTTGTGGGGCACATCCCCTGCCCCTGCCTCCTTCTCTTCCTGCCCTCCGAGCACAGGTGTTCACGTTTCAACAGAACTGACTTCCAGGATGACTCCTAGGGTGTGGCTGGGAGCCAGCCCCACTGCCAGGGCCAGGGCCAGCAGGGGGAGCCCAGGGCCGGGCTGAGGTGGAATATCTTGGCACTCCTGGCCTGCCCTTGATTTGAGGACTTCCCCCTCTGGAGGTGCCAGCCCCGGGCTCCTCTCTGGGGGTACCGTTCCTGCCACAGCTTCCCCTCGGGCCTTCTGCAAGATTTCTTCCCAACCCTGTAGCTTCTCCAGGTGAGGCAGGAGGGTGGGAACCTGTCCAGTGAGCCGCCCAGTGTGTTCATGAGATGTTTCACTTCCTGTTTCTCACGAGCCCTGGCTTCAGGGGCCAGAGAGCCACAAATTGAGCAATCAATCAGAGTATTTTTATTGAGCACCTACTGTGTGCCCAGCCCCGAGAAGGGCAGGAGCTGGGAGACAGAGAGGCAGGTACAAATGTGGTCCTGACTTTGATGAGGACCCCGACAGCCAAAGTAACTAACCTTCACCGAACACCTACTCTATGCTAGACTGTTTATCTCTTTCAGCCCCTGCCACCATCCCACGAGGTAGTTGGCCTCCCGTTTTACAGAACGGGAAACTGAGGCTCAGAGAGGTGAGGTGACCTTCTCAGGCTCCCCAGCTGGCAGGTGGCAGAGGTAGGATTTGAAGGCAGATCCGTCTGATGCAGAGTCTGCCATTAGCCATGACACCAGCTGCTGGGTGAAAGCCCCCCATCTGGGAGCGAGCTGGCTCTCTGGCCTGGTTTCTGGAGGCCCCAAGCTCAGCTCTGCCCTCTGTCCGCCCCCCCTCCTCCCACCACAGGAGCATTTCAATTACTACTCACTGGACACTGCCCTGGGCCACCTTGTTTTCTCACTCAAGTACGAGGTCATCGGGGACCAGGAGCACCTGCGGTTGCTGCTCAGGTGAGGGTGGGGTGAGGGGCCCTGCGACAGCAGCAGGGGCTGAGGTCTTGTCATCTAAGAGCCCACTCTTCTAACCAAGGCCCAGGGAGGGCAGGGAATTGCCTGAGGCTGCTCAGCAAGTTAGCACCCCAACCAGGCCTGGCCCCATCGTCACCTCTGGTCCTCCCTGGGGTGTGTCCCCTCTGCCCCTATTGTGTGTGGAGGGCCTTCCATCTCTCCTTCCCACTGCCTCGCCCCTCAGCGCGGGCTTTCTCCTCCCAGGACCAAGTGCCGGACACACCATGATGTCATCCCCATCTCCTGCCTCACTGAGTTCCCCAATGTGGTCCAGATGGCAAAGGTGAGGCGTCTTTGGGCACCCTAGGTGGGCACATAGCTGGCACGCTGTCATCTGTAGCCCCACATCCCAGCCCTGTGTGCTGCAGCCCTGTCTCCAAGGTCCCACCTCTCACGTGTCCCATGACGTTGGCATGCTGCCATGTGTTCTGGGCTCCTGTCCCCTGTCCGGTGCTTTTGGGTCACTTTAGAGCACCTTTGGATACAGGAGACCCCATTCTGAGCAACAGCGAGCCCCTAGTCCTGCTGCAAACTCCCTTGTTCCCTCTCCTTTCTGCTGCTGTCCTCTCCAGCCCGCGCGGCCGGTGGCCAGGGAGGCCCTGAGGCCCCAGCCTCAGCTTCTCCCTTCTCTCTTCCTGCAGCTGGTGTGTGAAGATGTGAATGTGGATCGATTCTACCCTGTGCTCTACCCCAAGGTATGGCTGCATCTGGGCCCTGCTCACTGGGGTGGGTAGGGAACGAGGGAACTGGGTGTTTATTGGGCACCTGTTGTGTACCGGGTGTCTCCCGTAAGTCCTCTCAGTTAACCCTCACAACAATGCTGCAAAGTCACCAGTCTGCAGAAGAGGAAGCAGAGGCTCAGAACTGTTCTGTGTCTTATCCGGCGATGCACAGTGGATAAAGGAGGCCTGCCTTCAAACTTGGTATTGTCCGCCTTGGAGGCCGGCCTTACTCTCAATGCCATTTGGGGACCCTCCCAAGGCAGTCAGTGTTCCTGAGCCAGGGGACTCCACTGGCCTTGCCTTCTGACCCAAGGGGAAAAGGGGAGGGGGAATAATAACACAGGCACCTCTGTAAACGCTGCCCCGTAGACAGCAGCCATGCTCCCAGCTCTTGTGCTGGGTTTGAGGTGCTATGACCATGTGGGGAAGGGATGGTGGCTTGTCTTCAGTGAGTCAGGGGTGCTTCCCGGGAAAGGTGGCCCCGAAAGGCATGTAAGCCCTTGTGGCTCTGACTGAATTCTGGAGTGAGGAGAGGGGTGGTGGGGTCCAGGAGAGGTCCCCCAAAGGAAGGGGCCTCAGAAATCAGACGTTACCTCTTGGGTACAAAAGAGGAAACTGAGGCCCAAGGTGAGGGAAGGGGCTACTTCTCAAGGCTCCACTCAAGTTGGTGAGACCTGGCTCATTCTAGAATGACACTGTGGGTTTACAGAGGAGCCAAGGAACAAGTTAGATGTTACAGAGTGGATGGAATAGGGCAGGGGGCCTGTGGGCAACACTCAGGAGCAGTGAGCTTACGCTTTGGACATGAGTTCAAGTCCCAGCGCTGCCACTTGTCAGCAGTTGACCTTAGGCAAGTTACAAGTTACTTAAGCTCTCTGAACCTTGGTTTCTTCCTTTGGGAAATGGGGACAGCAGCATTGTCTCCCTCGTGGGCTTGTCCTAAAGACTGAATGAGATGACACAGGTAAACTTCGCGGCACAGTGCTTGGCACGAAGAGCAACAAATGGCAACTTAAAAAAGCGGCCTATTTCACCCATCACCCTCTCCCCCCAGGCTTCCCGCCTCATCGTCACCTTTGATGAGCATGTTATCAGCAATAACTTCAAGTTTGGAGTCATTTATCAGAAGCTGGGGCAGGTGCGCTCACCTTCTCCTCCCTGCCCTCCGACCCGCCTGGCTGTGGATGTGTTGCCACTGGGAGCACCTGCCCAGGGACTCCATTTCCCAGGACCTGGGGGTGGGGTGCGAGAGGCTCCCAGCCTTCTCTGGGTGCAGGTGGGGGGAGGGACAGCAGCTGCTTAGCGGCGCTAGCTCGGTGACCTCAGTTCCCCATGTGTCCCCAGACCTCCGAGGAAGAGCTCTTCAGCACCAATGAGGAGAGCCCTGCCTTCGTGGAGTTTCTTGAATTTCTCGGCCAGAAGGTCAAACTGCAGGACTTTAAAGGGTGAGCATTAGGCGGGACAAGCATCGATTAATTGGACCCGTGCCCTCGGGCAGGGAGGGAGCCCCTGTCCTGGCCCCACAGAGGCCTGGCTGGGGCTGGAGACTGAGCCATGGCCTGGGGGGGGCCGGGGCAGGTTCCGAGGAGGCCTGGACGTGACCCACGGGCAGACGGGGACCGAGTCTGTGTACTGCAACTTCCGCAACAAGGAGATCATGTTTCACGTGTCCACCAAGCTGCCCTACACAGAAGGGGACGCCCAGCAGGTAGCCTGGGCACCCCCCCCCCACCTGCTTCCCACCTGTCCTCCTGTCCCTCGCATCTACCTGTCTGTTCAGTGTTCACCACACCAGGTTCAGGGGGCCCTGGGATATAGAGATGGAAATGATCCATTCTCCCAACTCGTGGGCTCTAGCTGGGGCAGGGTGACAAGCTGCTACAGTGTTGGGAAAGCCTCAGTTTCCACATCCATGAAATGGGGATGATAATGGCACCTACCTCATAGGTGAGCATAAGACGGGATGCATCTAGAGTGGCTAGAACAGTCTCTGGTACATATCAAGAGCTCCATAAATGTGAATTAGTACTTTTACGGGGGGAAGGGGCATTGTGGGGTGACATGGGGGCACTTAAACGTGGCAGAGGTGGGAGTCAAGAAAAGCTTTCCAGATAAAGTGATTTTTAGCCTGCAAAGTTGCTGGGAGAAGGAGGGGGAATGTTCCAGGTGGAGAAAATGGCTTCCACCTTCTTCAGAGGCCTGGAGGCAAGGAAGTGTGGGGCATATTCTGGGAGCTGAACTCCTGTCCTAGGCTGCCTGCAGGGCTGTCTACCTTCCTCCGTGCCCCCACCCCAGGGGGATAAAAGGGTAATGTGAGAAAAATGGAAATATTTGTTTTTAGTGTCTTTTGATTTTCTTCTAAGAAGATCCTCCGTTCATCTCAGCAGCATGAGTGTATACCGAGCGGAACCCGTTTGCTCATGAGAGGCCATGTGTGGGGCATTTAGGAGAAGGGCTGGGAGGTAGAGCCTGGGGACCAGGAGCCCTGAGTTTGTTCGAGTCCTCTGACTCACCGCAGGGCCTCGCAAGTCACTGCTCTCTTGGCCTCAGTTTCCTCATCTGTCGCGGGATTCCAAGCAAACTAAAATAATTTTGAAACAAGTTTTTCACGACCTTGTGTTGAGGGGAAGCAAATTCTTAGACGTGCCCTTCTGCCTACCCCAAGCCCTCCCACACTCCTGCGGGCACCCTCCCCCGTGCCCAGGGAGCCCCTCTCCGGCCAGCTTGTGAAGGCCTGTGGCCCTGTGCTCAGTTGCAGCGGAAGCGGCACATCGGGAACGACATTGTCGCTGTAGTCTTCCAGGATGAGAACACACCCTTTGTGCCTGACATGATCGCATCCAACTTCCTGCATGCCTATGTGGTGGTGCAGGCCGAGGGCGGGGGGCCCGATGGCCCGCTCTACAAGGTGGGTGATCGTGGAGCTTCCCAGGGCTCTCAGCCACAGCCCCTCCCTGAGTCACTCTGAGACCTCTCTGAGCCTCAGTCCTCCCACCTGTAAATAGGGGGACTGTCCAGAGGGCTCTGAGCAACCCCCTTGCTCTGTTGATGGGGGATTCCCATCCCACCCTCCCTGCTCCCCCAATTTTCCCGCCTCAAAGGAGCTGGTTGCCCTGCTCTACCCTTTAGCCTCCTAGGCCTTCCCTATCCTCTGTGACCTCTGAGAGCCTCCACCCTTTCTCACCATTCAAATTCAGGACCAAGGATGGAGGAGCTGAAATCCTGGGGTTCACTTACCCAGTCTGCAGTCACTGAACCTTCCCCAGCAGGGGGCAGGCCAGGGATGAATTAGGGGTCTCTGGCTGGGGTGGGGACTCCACAGAGACTGCTGCTCTCCCTTCCAGGTCTCTGTCACCGCTAGAGACGACGTGCCCTTCTTTGGGCCCCCCCTCCCGGACCCTGCTGTGTTCAGGAAGGTGAGGGGCAGCCCCCAGCCCCAGTCATGGACAGAGTAGGACAAAATGGGTGGGGGCCGAAGGAGGGGTGCACAGTCTGCTGTAAGAGGTCCTGAGGCCCCACTGTGTGCCAGGGCAGCTGGGCTCCCCTAACCCTGTCACCGGGGACTGGCTTCTCATTCACACGGATGGATACACACTGTGGTCTTTATTTATAAAGTCAGGGAACAATCTGCATCATTATTTTAGATTTCTCATAGAGGCTCTGTGGCCCTTCCTAACTTGTATTATCTTTTTGACAATTACAGTCTTCTTCCTTCTAAAATGTTTGGGAAGGGGGCAACACATTTCTCTCATCTCTCAGAAGCCACACCTCGAGCCTTGGCTTCAGGCCCCTCACTTCTCCCCCCATACTGAGGCAGTGGGAGACCCCAGCCAGCCCCTTGCATCTGTGAGGTCTGCTCTTCCAAGGGGTGGGCAACCATGAAGGGCCTAGGGGGCCCTCACAGGTACCTGGGCTGGGGGGCTGAGGCCAAGGAGGCCCCCTTCTGAGAGAGATGAGGATGGCCCCAGGGCCCCAGCAGGGTGCGGCTCAGGAGCTCCAGCCCCTTGTCTCTGTGTTCACCTGAGCCCTTTCTCTCCTCTCCACGCTTGGGGGCTCCCAGGGGCCTGAGTTCCAGGAGTTTTTGCTGACAAAGCTGATCAATGCTGAATATGCCTGCTACAAGGCAGAGAAGTTTGCCAAACTGGAGGTGAGGATGGGCTGTTGGGCTGAACCCCTGCCTGCAACCTGGCATTTCAGCCTTGCCCCTGGGGAGGGAAATGCCAGGTTCAGACTTTGGCCTCCGGGAGAGCTGTCTGGGGTGGGGTGGATTTAGGGGCAGCAGGGCTGTGGTCCAGGGAGAATTAGGACATTTCTAGGGGTATGTGAGGAATGTCCCAGGAGGTGCTCACAGGTGGGCAGGCTGGCACAGAGGACACCATGGGGGAAGGGGCAGACCGTGGGTTGGGACATGTGCAGCCTTGAGCGCTGCTGGAGCTGCGAGGTGGGGGTCCCAGGGAAGCCAGCATGGGCTCCTGGGGCCCTGGGCCCAGGCCCACTCCCTACTGACTCAGAGAAGGTGGCCAGGATTCGAATTGTAGAACCAAGGGCCAATCACTGGGGTCTCTCCTGATGGCCTCGACCTGGCCCACAGGAGCGGACACGGGCTGCCCTCCTGGAGACGCTCTATGAGGAACTGCACATCCACAGCCAGTCCATGATGGGCCTGGGCGGTGACGAGGACAAGATGGAGAATGGCGGCGGGGGCGGCGGATTCTTCGAGTCTTTTAAGGTGAAGGGCCAGGGTCTACCTGGGGCAGAGAAACTGGGACCTGGCTGGGGTGGAGTCGGGGGTGGGACTATGGACGAGGCTTGGAGGGGCGGCTAGAGGCGGCTCGCATTGGGGGTGGAGTCGGGTGGGGGCGGAGCTCTGGGTGGAGTCTGGGGGTGGGGTTGTTAGACGTGAGAAGAGCTAGGAGCTAGGTGGCAAGTACCTGGGCGTGGAGTCTGGGTGACAGCGAGAGGCTAGGTGACAGCGAGCCTCAGGACGGACCTAGGCTTTAGGGTGGGGCTCTGACTTGGGAGGAGTTAATGGTTGGAGGCGGGGCCTAGGCTTGGGGGTGGAGTCTACCTGGGAGTTCCGCGAAGGTTCGAGCCCTCTGAGCGGCAACCAAGTGCCTCTGGTGCCTCTGGTGGTGGCTACCAGGTCAGCAGGCAGAGAAGGGGGGAGGAGGTCTCCGTCCTCACTGAGGGAGAGAAACAGAAGTCTGAGATGCCATTTGTGAACCGAGTGGCTGTAGGAGAGGAACCTGGCCTGTATGACCTTAGGCCTGTGTGACCTACCATGGCTGTCTCCGCATTATCTTAGAGTTAAGAGTACAGACGGCCTGGGTTCACTTACCAGCTTGAGCATCCTCTGAGCCTCAGTTTCTTTCGTTTCTTTTTTTTCAAGTTGTATTTGTTTAAGTAGTCTCTGCACTCAACATGGGGCTCAAACCCACGACCCTGAGATCGAGTCGCATGCTCTTCCAACTGAGCCAGCCAGGCACCCCTGAGCCTCAGTTTCTCTATCCACTGGGTAGAGCAATGGCCGTTTACTTCATACAACTGTTGAGAATCATTTGTAAAGCAGCTAGATTAGTGCAACGTAAGTTCAAAAGCCCACCTACCTCAGCAACTGCTGTCCAAAGTGAGAGAGGAGGAGGGAGTGTCTCTTTCCCCCGTAGGGCCTGGACGCCCCCAAGCTGCAGGTCCCCAGGCTGTGGCTCCTTTGCCACCTTCTCCGCTCCCAGGAGGGGGGCTGCCCATCCTCTGGGTGCCCAGCCAGGCTGGTTGGGCCTCACCGTCACCCCAGGGCAGACAGCAAAGCTGGAGACGCGGGTTTGCATAAGGGGATTGGCCCAGCTGCCCGGGCCTGCCCTGGACTTAGGCGAACAGACTTTCTTTGAGAAAGGGGCCTGAGGAGAGCCCTGCCTGTGCCCACCAGAGACCGGGAATGGGTGGGGTGAACATGGGTCTGGGGGCTCTTGAGGAAGGGCTCCAGTGGTCTCAAATCTAGTAGGTGCCGGATTAGGTCAAAGAATTTCTTAGAGGCCGTAGAGCCCACAGTGAAGGGCATGTGATTTGGCATCTGGGTTCCAGGCTCATCTCATTTGTAAAATGGGCATGATAATAATGCCCACCTGGTAGGGTGCATTGAGTGAGAAAATGAGAATAAAGTACCTGGCCCCATAGGAAATGTTCAGTGTAGATTGGCTGAAAAAAGCAAGGAAGAAAAGGAGAGAAGGAGGAAAGAAAAGCCGGGGGAGGAAGCCCTAAAAGCAAGAAACTGAGGTTTCTGGAGGGCTCTCTGCGTGCTCTGGCTCATGCCCCAGCATCTTCTGCGGTCCTTACAGCAGCCACATGAGAGTCCCGGGAGGCTCAGAGAGGTGAAGTGGCTTGCCCAACGGCCCCCAGCAGGCTGGTGGCAGAGCTGAGGCCCAAACTGCCCTTAGGCACCATGTGCACTCACCTCTCCTGGGGCCTCACAGGCAGGGACTTCCGGGGGTCCCCTGGAGTGGCATTGGTGGGGAGGGGCCAGACGCCTGGGCTCCTGGGTTTCTGTGGGGGGGGTGGGACCTCATGAAGTCTGTGCCGCCTCCACTCCCACCCCACCTTCACAGCGGGTCATCCGGAGCCGCAGCCAGTCCATGGATGCCATGGGACTAAGCAACAAGAAACCCAACACCGTGTCCACCAGCCACAGCGGGAGCTTTGCCCCCAACAACCCTGACCTGGCCAAGGCAGCTGGAATAGTGAGTGCCACCCCCAGTAGCCCTCCGCTCTCCCCGACCTCCGAGGCCCGGCCCCGCCTCCTCCCATTGCCCTGGCATTTGAGTGCCCAGCCTGGGTTCTAGACTCAGTCTAGCCACTGCTCTCCATGGGGGTCCAATGTCCGGGCCATGACACCGGGGTGCACAGAGCCTGCAGCCCCCTTCCCTCCTCCTGGCCCCTTATTCAGGTGGCTTTCTGTGGGTCAGCTCTGGGGCTCTCTCTATCTGACACTCTTTATCGAGCACCTACTGTCTATCACGTGCTGGGAATCGGGCTGCTTTGTGGGCACCTAATGTCAAGCCTTGAGTTGCCGGGAGCATCTACTGTGTGTCAGGACCTGGATTTCTGTGTGAGCACCTGCTGTGTGCCTGGCTCTGAGATGCGGGTGGGTGCCTCCTGTGTGTGGGGACTTGGGCTGCTATGTGAGCACCTACTGTGTCAGGACCTGGGTTGCCATGTGGACGTGTACTGTGTGAGCATCTACTGTGGGCCCGCCCTGAGTTTCCATGAGCACCTACTGTGTGTCAGGTCCCGGGCTGCTGTGCGGGCATCGACTCTGTAAGTATCTACTGTATGCCCAGCCCTGGGTTATTCTGTGAGAACCCAGCGTATGTCAGGAGATGAACTCCTGACTGAGCACACAATATGTGCCAAGCCCTGGATATCAGTGAATCTGCGCTCTGTGCCAGGAAGTGAGCTGTGTGGTGTGAACATTTATTCTGTGAGCATCTATTTCTGTGTCCCTGGCCCTAGACTGCTGTGTCAGCACCTACTGTGTGTCAGGGCCTCTGTGGTTGTGGCTCCCTATTGTGTGTCAGGAACTGGGCTTCTGTGTGAGCACCTGCTGTGTGATTACTTCCTGTCTGCCAGCCTCTGTGGGATTCTGCTGCTAACACTGAGCGGGGGGGTGCTGGGCGCACGGGGTGGGTGAGGCCTTCGGCTGTGGGCTCATCGGCTTTCCGCCGCCTAGTGGCCACCCCTGGCATTGCACACGCAACTCTGCTCCTCCTTGTCCGTCCATCTTTCTTCCACTGATCTGTCCGTCCTTACTTCTGTCCTTTATCGCTGTATGCTGCATGCCAAGCCCTGTGCTCAGTGCTGTAAGGCCGTGTCACATGGCAGGAGATTCCCCACCCCCCAACCCCCCAGCCACCCCTGCCCCATGGTCTGGCCCGGCCCGGGGAACAAGGCGGGACCTCTGCCGTCCTGCAGTCACCAAGCCCACTGTCACTGGAGAAGCGGGCCCACCCCCTCCCTTCCCGCCGAGTGGCCTAGCCTCCTGTGGGTGCTGTAGAAGGGGCCCCGGGGCCGGGCCAGGCCAGCAGCACCCACCATGGCAGTAACCAGACCCATTTCTGTTTTTGTTTTTTGCACAACTCTCTTCTCTCCTGCTGTTTCCTTTTCCTTCTACCGTCTGCATTTTCCCTGGTTTCCCTTCTCTTTCTTTCCCTCCTGCTCCCCCCACTGACACCTTCGTCCTCCTCCTCTTCTTCCTCTTTCCCCACACTTTTCTCTCCCTGCTTCCTCCTTTCTGCCTCCCCGTTCTTTCCATCTCTGTCTCTCTGTCTGTCTTTCACTCTGTGACCTCCGTGTGTTCCCCCACATGTCCCTACCTGTGTCTCTGTCTATTGGCCAATCTTTCCCCCGTCCGCTGTGCCGCCCCTTCCTGGCCGTGTCCCTCTCTGTCAACCCCATCTCAACCTCTCTCTGTCTTTCTCCATGTCTGTCTGTCTGTCTCTCTCTGCCCCCGCCCTCTGCTGCTTGCCAGTCATTGCTTATTCCTGGGAAAAGCGCGAGTAGATTCGGACGCCGGGGCAGTGCCATAGGCATAGGAACGGTGGAAGAGGTTGTCGTCCGCGGGGCCGCCGGCTCTGGAGGCTGCCTGCACGTGCTGTTCTCTGCTCGCTCTCAGGACGGAGGCCATATTGGGGACGTTGCCCCCCCCCTTCCCCTGGGCCGGGCCCGGGGGTGTGCAGGATGGGGTGCCGGCAGCTCTGATGGCACTCAGCACCTGCTTTGGGGCCTGGTACCTGTGTCAGAGCCAGCGCCCCCCACCAGGGGCTTCTGGCCCTGCCCTGGCCCTGGGGACCCTCACCCAGTCCCTGCCGGAATCTGGTGCCCAAAGACCCTATGCCCAGCCGCACGTCCCCCAATATCGCCAGTTCTGCATGGACCTCCATCCCTCTCCTCTGCCCTGATTCCCCCTCCGCACCATGAACTGGCCTAGGGTTTCCTGCCCCTCCGTGCCTCCCTGGGGCCCGCCTTCCCGCCTCCCCAGAGAAGCTGGGGCATGCTTCTGGTGCCTGGGGCATCCCCCCCTCGTGTGGTTAGAAACTGGGGGAGGGAAGGTATCTTGCAACTGCTGGGCCCGAATCTCCCCCAGCCAGTTTGGAGATTCCGAGGTGGGGCAGGGGTTTATGTTGCTACATCCACTGTCTCCCCGCTGCCCTGAGGCTTCAGGTCCCATGATACCCCCGAGGGGCCGAGAGCCGGTAGCCATTCTGAGGACTCGGCCTGGGATGCGGTTCCAGGCGCTGCCCTGCTATGTGATCTCGAGCGCCCTCGCCCTCACCAGGCCTACTTCCCTCTCTGTTAACTTGAAGGGCTGTCTCTGGAGATGGGCATTCCTCTCATTCTTTCTTGTTCACTGCCTCTGCTTCAGGGCCTGGGGCAGCAGGGCCCCAGGTGGTATGTGGGGGACAGTGGCTCTCCCAGGGCAGGTGGGCACTGAGTTGGGCCCTTTCCCTGCAGTCACTGATCGTCCCTGGGAAGAGCCCCACGAGGAAGAAGTCGGGCCCGTTTGGCTCTCGCCGCAGCAGCGCCATCGGGATCGAGAATATACAGGAAGTGCAGGAGAAAAGGTGGGTGGGATGGGTCCCCTGTCATCCCCAGCCCCTTCCCTGACCCCCGTGCTGTGGCAAAGGTACGCAGGCAGGAGGGAGTGCCCACTCTTCTGCTCCCTGTCCCTTTCTGGGGACAGTCAGGTACCTGCTGTGTGTCAGGCCCCAGGGCCAGCTCGTCACCTAACATGAGATGCCTTCATCGGTTCAGCGGTTCTGGTGGCTCCCCAGGGGGTCACACCTTGCATGTCAAGATGCTGTAGGGGAGAGGGCTCAGGAGTTGCCTGCCCAGGTCACGCAACCCGGGGGAGGCAGAGCCGGGATTTACGGCCTGGTCTGTGGGGGTCTGCGGATGCGTCTGTGCAGGCAGTGTGCAGGCAGCACGCCATACGAGCAGCGGAACAGCCCCTGGGAAGCGGAGGATAGTTCCTGAATGTGAGTCCTGTCTCTACCACACTGGGGCTGTGTGACTCTGGAAAAGTCACCGTACCTCTCTGAGCCCCACTGTCCCGATCTGGAAAATGAGGACAAGCACATGAGCAACAACCCGGGGCTGCGGCAGAGGTATGGTGTAGAGCGCATGAAGCAGGGCAGGTGCGCTGAGCCCCCCAGAGCGGAGGTGGTGCCGTCCTCACGGCCACGAGAGCCCAGAATCCTGTGAACCCTGGATTTAAGCCTTGGCTTTGCCATGTCCTAGCTGTGCGTCCCTGGACGGATTCCTTCCCATCTCTGGACTCCAGTTTCCTTATCCGTACCAGGGATAAGGAGGGTGCTGTCTTACGTGGGCACTCCATCACTGCCTGTTCCTCTCGCCGGCCAGGCCAGCCAGGGAGCTGCAGGGACTGCTCTGGGGTTGGCCCCTGAGGATCTAGGGTGCGGGGACGAGGCAGGAGGCGCCCGTGACCTTCTCTCACCACCTGGGCCTCGTTCTACCCTTGGTGCCAGGCCTGGTGCTGAATCCCCCCGCTGCCCCCGTGTGCCCCGCAGGGAGAGTCCCCCCGCCGGCCAGAAGACCCCAGACAGCGGGCACGTCTCACAAGAGCCCAAGTCGGAGAACTCATCCACTCAGAGCTCCCCAGAGATGCCCACGACCAAGAACAGGTTGGGGTTTGGGGCACGCCGAGCCAGGGGGCTCGGACTCACCCTTTCCAGTCCCTGCGTGGGCCTGGGGCTGCCTGGGAGCATTGGTGCTGCCACACCAGGGCGTCAGGGGTGCCTGGGTACTCTCGCAGGCCCTCCGTTGACACGTACCTATACCCACTGAGAGCTTCATTCATGCCGGGCCCCATGCCAGGCTCCAGGTCCAGCAGTGAGCTGGGCACACACAACCCCTGCCTCGTGGAGCTGACGGTCCAGAGTAGCATGACCTGATGAACTATTTCTAGACGGTGCCACAAGAGAACAACAAAGCTGGGGGTGCAGTGGGGAATGATCAGGTGGGCGGGGGGTAGGTGGTGCTCAGGGAAGACATCCAGATATGGGGGAGGCTTCAATTGAGAGCTCATTGAAGAGCCAGCCCTGCTAGGACTGGCATGGCAGAAGGAAGAGAAGCAGAGCAAGCACAAAGGCCCTGAGGCGTGCTTGAAGGATTGAAAGAAGGGTGGTACGGTTGGAGCTCAGTGAGTGAGGAGCTGGGCCCCGGCAGACGTTGTGCTGGGTGATGTCGGAGATGAGGTCAGCAAGGTGGGCAGGGCTAGATCCAGGCTTTGGAAGCCATATTGAGAACTTTGCGCTTTACTCTAAGTGGGGCCAGGAAAGAGCCTTTGGGATTTTAGTTAAGAGGAGTGAGACTTTCGAACCCGACTGTGGGTACGATGTGAAGAGGTGGGGTGGGGAAGAACGGACGCAGGAGGGGCCACCCCTCCCTTCAACGCTGTGGCTCCAGAGGACTGTGCTCTGCTGAAGAGTCAGGCAGGTAAACAGAGAAGCGGGAATGGATGGCAGGGACAGGGAGAGACAGGGCTCGCACACCCAGAGTGAGGAGGTCTATTCCCACCTTGAGAGGAGGAATCAGGGAGGAGACGCTTCAAAACCTTGGCTGAGTTTTGAAAGATGAATTTGCTTTTTGGGAATTGAGGGAAGGAGTGAGACTCCAGGCGGGAGACACAAAGTCCTGGGCCTGGAGCAAAACTGAGAGGGTTGAGAGTAGAGTGTGGAGTTGGAAGGCCTGGGTCCAAGCCCCTTTCTCCCACCTATGGCTGGGTGACCTTGGGCTGGGCACCCACCCTCTCTGAACGGTGTTTCCTCAGTGTTTCCTCATCTGCAGAGTGGGTCTAATAATGATAGCAATGAGACCACTCGGGCAAAGGCACTTGAAACAGTGCCTGGCCCAGTCAAGCATGCACTAGACCATAGTTTTATTGTTAATAGTTACTATTATTACTGAATACCAAGCCAGGGAAATTAGACTATCTGGGACAACGGGGAGCCACGAGAGGGCTTTGCACAGGGGAGGGGCATGCTCAGATCCATGAATTAGGAAGGACAGTGGTGGTGGGGAGCCTCAGAGGCCTAGGCAGCCGTCATGGGGGGCACAGAGGTACTTGGCTGGCTGCAGGCTGGGCCTCCCGGGGCAGGGAACCGGGGTCTGGCTCAGGAGGAGCCCAGAGCAGACGTGGGCTCACGGGGTGCTGTCTGGCAGAGCGGAGACGGCAGCCCAGAGAGCCGAAGTGCTGAAGGACTTCTCCCGCTCCTCGTCCAGTGCCAGCAGCTTCGCCAGCGTGGTGGAGGAGACCGAGGGTGTGGACGCGGATGACACAGGCCTGGTGAGAGGCCCAGGGAACGTTGGCGCTCTACAGTGGCCCGGAGGGGGGGCTCTTTGGTCCCCGTAGATGCTGCAGGCAGAAACATGAGCTTGGGTGTGACTGAGATGAGATCAGGGGACCCAGTCCAAAGGAGCAATGCAGACTAACCCTCCCTTACTGTAAAGCCTTCCATGGCTCCCCAGTGTTGCCCACAGAGCACCCAATCTCTGAGACCGTTGAAGATCTGGTCCCTCCCTACCCCTGCATCTCTCACCACTTCGGCCAATCTGCGCTCCTTTGCAGTCCCTCCAACATACCAGGCTTACCCCACCTCTGGACCTTTGCACTTGCCATTTCCTCTGTCTGGAAGACTCTGCCTGCCTCCTCTTTCCCTCTCTGTCCGACTGACTCCTACTCATCCTTCTTGACTCAGCCTCACATCACCTCTGAAAGCTGCCTAGTCCTGGGGTAGGTTAGGAACCACCCCCCGCCCCCCGTTTAATGTTCTCGCAGGCCCCCCTGGGGCTTTGCCCCTAGCACCCTTGTGTCATTCTTCATTCATCAAACCTTTAGCGGCCACGTGTTCCTTGCCAGGCCCCGTTCCAGGTGCTGCAGGTGCAGCAGGGAACAGGGCAGACCGCGGCCCTGCCCGATGGGGCCCAGACTCTAGGATTGTAATAGTTCTTCACAGTCTGTCTTGCCTCCTAGACCTCAGTGTCTGAGGGCGGGAACCGGGCCTGATTTCTCTCAGTGGTTTGGCCCAGGAGAACATCAGTGAATGTTTGCCGAATGAACGCGTGGGGGTGTGTGGTGTAACGGCTGGGACTGTGCCTGTTCCTACTCTGTCCTCCGGGTCTCCCCGGGGCAGACGTGGCTGGGCCCCCATCCTCTTTGCAGGGGCACAAGGGTGAGGGTGTGTGGGTTGCAGCAGGCAGAGGACGCTGGGAGAGGGGAGGGAAGCAAAGCCAGTGCCACGGACGAGGGCTAACCTCCCTTTTTCTCCCATCCCCAGGAGAGCGTCTCGTCCTCAGGGACGCCCCACAAGCGGGACTCCTTCATCTATAGCACGTGGCTGGAGGATAGTGTCAGCACCACGAGTGGGGGCAGCTCCCCAGGTACCAGGCCGCAGACAGCTTCCCCTGCCAAGGCATTCTCGTGGCAGGAGAGGGACAGGGATAGGCACAGAGGGTCGAGACGACTTCTCATGCCCCAGGTGGTGGGTGTGTGACGGGACTTCCCCTGACATAGGGGACAGTGGGTGGGTCATTATCTGGCCTAAGACGCTTGAGGGCTCATGGCTTCTGGAAGGGTCTCGGAGGATGACAGAGGGGTGGGTAAAGGCGGGAGTTAGGGGTGGGGCAGGGTCGCGGAGCACCAGTGCCTACCGCCCATCCATGCGTCCATCTCCTTGGTGCCTCCCCGCGGCCAGTGAGGTGGCTCCCTCCTGCCCCCCTCCCCAGGACCCTCCCGGTCACCCCATCCCGACGCCAGCAAGTCGGGGGACCCTGCGTGTCCCGAGATCAAGATCCAGCTGGAGGCATCTGAGCAGCACACGCCCCAGCTGGTATGTGCAGCTGCCAGAGGGCTGGCCAGGGCGGATGTGACCAGCCTAGAGGCTGCCTTGTGGGGACACTCACCCAGGAGGGGGTTAGCTGTTGGGGGAAGGGGACAGGTGTCCAAGGGGACCAGGGGTGGGTGCTGGACCACGAGGTCCCCCTGAGGCCAGGAGGGGTTGGGCTCATCTGGCCTGGGCACAACCAGTGTCTTCTGCTTGCCTGTGTCTCCTGCCCCATGTCTTCACCTATCCTGTCGCCTGCCTTGCTGCCACTCTGTCTGTGCAGGGCTGTTAGCCAGGCTCCAGCTCTGAAGGTGAAACTGAGCAGGTCAGACCCAGTCCTCAGCTCTTGTTTGGGGGGAGAGGGTGGGAGTGGGTGGGAGTGGGGAGGAGGGGGGTGACTCCTCCTGTTCCTCTGTCACTTCCTTGGGCTGAGAGCTGTGTACCTGGATTCGAATCCTCTGCTACTTAAATGCTGGGTGACTTGGGCAGGTCATCGGCCCCTCCCCGGAACTGTTTCCTTTTCTGTGCAGCCGGGCTAATAAATGCTGCCTCGCCTCTGCCCACGAGTCAGCAGGAGGATTTGGTGGGAGCCTGCAAGGGACTAGGTGGTTGCCGGGAGGGAGGGGCCTGGAGGGTCCCCAGTGGGATGGAAAGACCCAGAGCCTGGATCTGGGGCAGGCCCTTCCCGCTCCCGTCTCCCTGCATCGTGGTGTGTTCCTCTCTCTTAACCCTGCAGGTGAGGCCGCAGAAGCACAAGGTGAAGACGCAGTGTCAACTCCAGGTGGATAGGACCTCTGCCCCCACAGCCAGCACCAGCCTGTGGGCTGTCCCCTGCCCCCGCCTTGGCCACCTGTCTGGACTGTCTCTGCGGGGCGGAGCCATCCGGACCCAGGAGGGGGAAGCTGCTGGCATCATCCCCACCCCCCAGGCTGGGACAGGCAGTGGTCAGTTGAAGCAGAACTCCAGGCCTGGCTTGCCCCCGCTCCGGGCCCTTTGTCACACCCGGGTGCATCTCCGGACCCCTGGGGGAGCAGGACGGGAGGGCAGGATTGAGATATCTTGGTGTACACAGAGCCCGTTGCAGAGGCGGTGGGACGTGAAACGTGGTGGGATGGGCACTGGGCTGGGAGTCCCGAGTCCTGGCTTCCAGTGTGGGTTCTGCTGTGTGACTTTGGGCAAGTCAGTCTCCTTCTCTGGGCACCTCTGCTACACGTGGACAAGATTATTTCAGAGGTCAGTGATGACTGTGATTCCATGCACCTGCCCCAGAATGGGGGATTGTCCTCCCAGGGGCCCCCATTGCCCTCCCTTGCTTCTTGGGCTCCCTGGGACCCCAGGTGGGCTGAGGGGCTGGGAGCTGGCTCTGCCTGTTGCCCCTCCTGGACCCTCAAGCTCTACCACAGATCTGCCAATGCCCTGGCCACTGCCTCCACGTGACAGACAAGTGACCCCCTTAGGGGGGAGGGAGACCTCCCTGGCTTCTCAGCCAGCACCCAGCTTAACCCCTGCCATCCCATGCTCTGGGCACTCCAGGTCGCGGGGTCTCACTGGCCTAGAGTTATGGGCCTCGCCTTTGTGACCCCTCCACCCAACTCCCACGGAGGGGCAGCCAGGCACAGCTGCTGTGAGTCCACATCCTTGTGTGTGTCTGTCCACACTTTTTAGGCACCACGCCAAAGGCCAGCCTTCCGGCCCCAACACCCATTTTGGAAGCCCCCGTGGCTGTGTGTATGTCGGTAACAGTTGTACAAAATAAATTCTATTTATCGCTATTGTACCCCGAGTTGGGCCTGGCTTTGTGTGAACCCTGCCCCGCCCGACTCCGGACAGATCTCAGTGGTGCCGAGGCACCAGCCTGCCTGTCCCCTGCACCCTACCCTTCAGAGCTGCTAAGCTCTGGGGGCACCTCCACGGTCAAACCACGGGTGCTGTGACCACCAGGCGTGCTTCCTTTCCACCGTGCTGCCCTCCCCTCCACCCTGTTCCCCTTCTCCAAGGCGGGGGAGGGAGGGGTGGAGAATACAGCTCTGAAGTCAGGCAGACCTAGGTTTGAGTCCCCGGACCATCTCTTACTAGCTGGGTGGCCTTGAGAAACTTGAGCCTCAGTTTCCACTTCTGTGAAATGGGAGCAGTAGTACCTCTCCCAAGGGTTTGTGATGAGGGTTCGCTGGGCCGGGGTATATCAAATACCTGGCACAGCGTCTGGTTCACAGTGGGTGTTCAGAGACCAGCTTCCCTCTCTCCTTTCTCTTGCTCAGTGAAGTCCAAGAATTTCCTCAATGTGGCCACCAGGGGGCGCCAAGGGATCGCTTACCAGGACTGATGGGGGCAGGGGTGGGGGCTCAGCCGCGCAGGGCAGTTACAATCAAAGGTACTGAGTGACACGGGGTTGGGGGCGGGGGGGGGGGCATGTGCACAAGGCGGGGCCCAGGCTGGGTGAGGGAGACATGGAAGACTCCGCAGCAGTGGTGACCGAGCATCCTGGAAAGGCTTAGGAAGGTGTCCCTAGGGCAGGAAACTGCAGGTGCAGAGGTATGGAGGAGAGTGTCTGGAACTGGGAAGGTAGCAAACAGTTCTGAGTGATGGGAAGGTGACAGGGTAGAGATGAAGCCAGGGGCCACATGGCCTTGAATGCCAGGTCAAGGGGTCTGTGCTGAGGGCAGCGGGGAGCCATGGAGGGATTGTCATAGCAGTTGGGAACTGCTGGTGTAGACCAGCTGGGCAGTGTCAGGCAGGGAGGGGAGGATCAAGGTGGCAGATGTTGGGGACAGAGGGCAGGAGGACAGTGGACAGGCCTGGAAGGACGGGGGTAGGGTGGGGCGTGAACATCTGGGTGAAGGACCTGATGGGATGTGGGGCTGAGTGGGGAGTCCAGCCTGGGTACTGGGTGAAGGGGGCCCCCTCTGAGGTTGGAGTGCAGGAGCAAGGGCAGCCTGGATGGCCACCTACCCTGGCCTCCCTGACAGTTTTGCAGCCCCCCATCCCCTGCCACCAGCCCCCACGCCCTCCCCGAGGACGGCGGTAAGTGCACCCACTGCCATGCTCTTCCTGCCAGGGCCCTTCTGTGGCGCTAGGATGTCTGGGGCCACCCGGGGGCTGTGACTCACCCCCGATGCCTAACCGCACCCACCTGGTTTGGCTCTAGGCTGCCCTGGGCTCTGTGGGTCCCCTACTAGCCCCAGCCCTTCCCTGCACAACCGCACCCCAGTTCTCCGGCCATCGCACCCCCTCCCATTCTCCATCTCTGGTCGGGTCTCCTCCCATCCCACCGCCGAAGGGCCGGCAGCCACACTTCAGCACCAAGGTCAGGAGCTTGGCTCTGAGTTCCTTGATCTCCTCTCCGTGTGAGTTGGGGCACATGATTTGGGCTCTGTGGGCCTCAGTTCCCTCAACTGTACAGTGGGAACGCTAAACCCTGACGTGAAGATTCAAAAGTGCACCCTGGCACGTGATAGGCTCTAAGAAATAGTGTGCGTGTTGGGAGTGGGAGCCGTGATTAGCCATGAATGGGAACCAGACCTACAGCCCACATCAGAGGATGTGGGGTCAGCTTTCTGTGTGGACGATGGAGTAATCGGTGTCGGGCCTGACACGGGCGTCCGGACACGAGGCTTTGGGAACATACGATTGCGGGTTGCTTCCTTGAGCCTCAGTTCGCCAGGCTTTACTGGGACTGACGATCCTTTTATAAAAGAGTCTGGGCACCCCTGCTCATGGCCCTTACTCCCTCGTGCAGCTCCGACCCACAGCAGGGCTAGAGCACTGGGGGCTGTCGTGGCAGAAGCAGACCTTGCCTTTGCCCCCCTGTCTGCCCGGTCTGTGCCGGCCCCCCATCTGTGGCAAGGGCAGGCCTCTGGGCTGGCTTTCAGGCTGGGCCCCAACCCACACCCACCTCTCCAGGCTCCAAGATGGGGCCAGGGGAGGCTGAGGAGGAATCCGGCCTCTGGGATCAAAGTGTCCAACGCTGTTTCTCTTGTGCCTGCGCCAGTTCCGTGCTCACTCTGGGCTCCGAGGTGGGGAGGGCGAGCCAGGACACTGACCCGAGGCTGGAATTAGGGCTTGGGTGGGGGGCACCGGGCTCCGGGAAGCACTGGACTCTACTTAGAAATAGCTCTGGTGGTGGAAATGGCAGCCAGAGGTTTCTCCAGACGCAGGAGGCAAGAGGCCTCCCGTGGAGGGACTTGGGCACCTGGCTGACCTACCGTCCCCGTCCCCCGTGCCTCAGAGCTGGTACCTGTCTCTCCAGGCCTCAGGTTCGTTGCCTGTCAAAGGAGGACAAAGCCTTACCTATTGCTGTGAAAAGACTGTCATGGCTTCTAGGGTGCCTGGCCTAGTAGGAGGGGTCCTCCCCTGTCCCCTGGGGTGTCCCTGGACGTTCATGGTTAACCCTGAGGCGACTTTGCCAAGGAGACGGCCGCAGGCTCAGGCCCGCCCAGTGCCAGGGGACGGGGACCTGGATGTTCTCTACTGCTTAGGCCACAGGGGGTACTTAGCCAGGGACCCTGGAATGTAGAGGTCCCTCCCTCCCTGTACCCGCCCTGCCGAGGGGACAGCCAGGGACGGAGTCTCCTGAAATAACAAGATCTGGTTAGTGAGGCTAATTTTAAAAGCCACTCTGGCTGCCCCATAGGCCCTTCTGGGAAGCCATGAATATCCCTGTGTTGCCCCTGGGAAGCAGGGTGAGGGGAGAGTGGCAGGGGCTGGGGCTGGACTCCCACCCCTGACTGTTAGTGCGGGAGACCCCAAGCTGCCTCCCAGGGCCTGCCCATCCAGGACCCAGAGTCCCAGGCCCAATGTCGGGGCTCGGGAGCCCAGCCTCTGTCCCGATCCACTCAGGGAGAACTCCCGTGGGCTCTCAGGACCCTCCGGCACCTGCACTGGTCTCCCTGAAGCAGCACTGGATGGGGGGACTCAAGCTCTCTGGCTCTCTCCCACTGTCTCCATTGCTGACTATGTTCCTTTATCTCTGGATCTCTGCCTCTCCCTGTCTCTGACGCTCGAGGTCCCTCTTTGCAGCGGTGGCTCTGTCCCCCTCTCTCGGGGCCCATCGTGAAGGAGGTCAGACAGCATTCCTGACAGTCCATAGGCTGGACTCTGTGTACTAGGTGGGAGTGGGTGTCCACCTGGGAGCTGAGGGCCCGGTGGGGGAGGACAGCAGTCCTGGGGGCGGACAGGAGCTATAACTGGGCAGGCAGGGGGCCATGTCCAGGCACGACATGGGCCATCTGGACAGGCCAGGTGCCAGCAGAAGGAATGAGCTCCAGGGGTAGGATTGCCAGATTTAGCAAGTAGAAACACGGAGCCCAGTTAAACTTGAATCTCAGATAAACAAGAAATAATTTTTAGTTTTAAGTACACCTCATGCAATATTTGGGACATACTTATACTAAAAAATCATTCCTTGTTTATTTGAAATTCAAGTTTAACTGGTCATCCTATATTTTGTCTGGCAACCCTATCCTGGGAGGCTCTTGGAGGGAGCGGAGAGGTTTCTTAGGAATGACAGGTTTTATACACAGACCGTGGGAGCCCCAGCCTGGTGGGGGTAGCACAACCATACCCCAGTGTCACAGCGCGGGCACACCTCCTGCCCAGAGAGATTTCAGTTCTCTGGGGGTGGGGACAGTCCTTGGGAGGCCGTGACCCCGACATCAGTTACCTCCTCAGTGGAACCATGGACATCAAAAGGGAGGGTCTGTGTACGTTCTCTGCTGAGCCCAGTGCCTAACCCAGGGCCCGGCACATAGTAGGGGTTTCATAAATATTTGCTGAATGAAGAATCCTCCCAACCCACCCCCCCATGGGGATGGGGATGCTTGGCCAGCAGGGGGCTCCAGCAGCCTACCTCCCAAGCTCCTTGAGGCTAACTGGTGAGTGCAGTGCCCCCACCCTGGGGACTCCCAAAGTGCGCTGCAGGAAGAGAGTGAAGGGGCAGACGGAGAGAGGAGGCCAGTTTTTCCCTATCACACCCCTGCCCCAGACCCCAGTTGCAACTCGGAGTTCAGCCTGGGCAAGAGTGTGGAGGGGGGTGGGAATGAGGGCAGGGTGACTTTTGGCTTCTGGCCTTGGGGGGCTGCTTGGGACTAAGGTGGAGGGGCAGGCCGCAGGGGTGTTGGCAGGGCTCGTCTGCAGGGCACTGGGACAGCCAGGGAGATTCCTGGGACCCAGAGGATTGTGAGTTCGTGTTTCTGGAGAGCTGAAATGGGCATTTTCCCGTGGACTATCAATCTCAGGGGTCTCCCTGGAGGGATGACTATGCCCTCCCACACCTCCCCAGGAACAGAGTCCCTTAAGTAGCCTTTTCATTCACTCACTCATTCATTCATTCATTCGCTGACTCACCCACTGTCACCATTTGCTGAGAGGAACTCACTTCGGGTCTGGCGCTAAAGGACCTTAGCAATTTGGCTGGGCTCAAACACCTGTTCCACTGCCTGCACTTGCCACCGGCTCCCGGTGGATCCTGGGCAAGAGACTGAGGACCTTGGTTTTGCCCTCCCTGCGGTGGGGTCGACGCCAGCAGCTCCCTCCCGGGGTAACTAAAGACAGGAGTTGATGCCTGCCCACGGTAGGTGCCGCAGGAAGGGGGGCCTCATGATCACTGTAATTATCATCAGTATCATTTCGAGGTCCCTCTGGGCTGGGCAGGGAGCTGTCACTGGCCCCGAAGCCCTGGCTTCATGGCCAGTGTCACCCTGAGGCCCCACCTCCTCTCAGGGGTTTCCGCCACCTCAGCCCCCATCCCTCCTTTTCAAGAAATGTCATCTCTTCCAAGGTGTCTCTGGCTTCTAGATGCAGCAATGAATCCTTCAGAGAAAAGCAAAGAGATGGGGACAGAGCCTGGAGAGGCCGTCGGAAGGCAGGGCTTGGGCCTGGCCCCCTCTAACCTGCGTGTGAGCTGGAGCTTGTCCCTTCCTGCCCTGGGCCTCGGTTTCCCCAGTTGTACGGCGAGGGTGTGGGGCTGGACATCCTCCATGCCCGGGAAGGGACCTGTGTGGCATCCTGTTAGTAACGGTTTAGCTCCGAGCCTATAATCACATCTGCCCTGGGAAGAACTAACACAGCGTTTCTTTAAATTGGGCTCTAATTGCGGCTTTTAGTGGAGTCAGATGCTCCCCTCCCCCAGCTGCTCTGAATCAGGGAGGTTGTCCCAGCCTGCCCCGCCAGGCCCAGGAGTCCCTTGAGATTACTCTGGCTGTCACTGAGCCGGTGACGGGTCAGGGACTGATGTCTCGCGAGGACCTACTGTGTGTCATGCCCTGAGCCGGGCACTTTCCCTCCAGAGGACTCTGGGTCACCTCACTACAATTGTAGGCGGCAGGG